GAAGGGTAAAACGCGGTTTGACCAAAACAGAACTCGCCACAATCCTGTGAGGTAGGATCAGCCCAGAGATCACGATCTACCTAACAAGGTTTGTGTCTGAACGATGATTGGACGCCTCTCTTGTTCGAACCCAACGCATTACGGGAACGATGGGCTGCGGGGAAACGATCACCACCTTAAACGGTGAAATAAATAAATAAATGAATGAATGAATGAATGAATGAATGTGCTTCTTCATTCCAAAGATGTCCAACCGAGCCAAACTGGGAACCACTTCCCCTCCTCTCCAAAGCAAGGCGAAACATGTCCCAGTGGACCCATAAGAGGCAATGCGCATCTGAGTACCAGTTGCGGATATGTGGCAACCATAAGGAAGGCCTATTATTATTGCCTTGATGCCCGCTTGCGAGAGGCACCCGACTGGCCGCTGCGTGACACACAGGATGCTGAAGTCGATGGGGTGGCTTTTCTTACAGGGGACGAGAGAGCCGCTCCCCTCTTTCCTGCTCGCTGTCACTCACTCTCCCGGCCGCCACGGGGTCCAACGCACAGCGCACAACGTCTCCTTCTCCTTTTTATTAATGCTGCTGGCATCAAAGGGAGAGGGAGAGAGAGAGAGAGAGAGGGAGAGGGAGAGGGAGAGAGAGAGAGAGAGAGGGAGAGAGAGAGAGAGAGAGGGATCTTTGCCAGAGCGCAAAGCGTTTTGTTCTTCGGGGCTCGGCGGTTCAAGTGTTTGGAAAGGGCAGCGCTTCCCCGCGCCTCCAATGTGGGGGCTAATGATAATCTAAATTAGTTATTGGAAATAATTACCGCGGCTTTTATTGTGCCAAGCCGAGCAGAGCCCTGGAGAGCCGTCTCGCGCAGACATCGCCGCGCAGCTAAAAGCTTTGATGCCTCATTAATATTCCAGGGGAGTCTTGCCAGGCCTCCCTCGTTCCCTTCCCCGAGCCGGCGCGCCCGGCGCTCGCCGTGAATGAAGGACTGGCTGGCTGGCTGGATGAATGAACCCAGCCGGGCCCCCCATGCAATGCAAAGCGAGCGAACCTCAGGCCTCTCTCCCTCCCCCTCCCACCCCCCAGCCCTGTGGGGAGGACGAGGAGGATCAGGATTCAACCAGCACCACCAGCCGAGCTCGCTGCATGGAGAGGCGGCGGCGCAAAGAGGCCGGAGGTCAGCGCCCTCGTGGTTTCCGCCTGCAGGGCGGGGGGAAAGGGGCGCTCAGATCAGATCGTGGGGGCTCCAGAGCTGCAAGGTCGAGGCAGCTCCCTCTCTTAGCTCCGGGCGAGCGCTGCCTGCGCCTCCCTTTGCAGGCAGAGATCAGAGACTCTGCCTTGGAAGGGATCACGAGGGTCATCTAGCCCAACCCTCTGCGATGCAGAAATCTTTTGACCATTGCGGGGCTCGAACTCACGACCTTGAGGTTAAAGAGTCTCAGAAAGCCTATCAGGCGTCGGAGGGAGCAGCCGCAAGGTCGGCCGCCTCCTATGATAGCTGCCTCTGCCTCTTTCTCATCGTGTGATGGGCAAGCCAGAAGCGTTTGAACTATGTTCATCCGAGGACACAACAGAGAGCAACGATATTCAGATTTTTTTTTGGTGGGGGGGAAGACCCTCAGACGAAGAACCCTGCTGGATCAGACGGAAAAGCCCTGCTAGACCAGCTGTTCCCCAAACTGGTGCCCTTCTAGATGGTGCAGGCTGGTCCGTTTGGGCAAATGGGGCAAGTGGCCCAGCCCTCTCCTGCCTGCCTCCTTACTTTTTGTTGTTTAGTCATTTAGTCATGTCCGACTCTTCGTGACCCCATGGACCAGAGCACGCCAGGAACTCCTGTCTTCCACTGCCTCCCACAGTTTGGTCAAACTCATGCTGGTAGCTTCGAGAACACTATCCAACCATCTCTGTCATCCCCTTCTCCTTGTGCCCTCCATCATTCCCAACATCAGGGTCTTTTCTAGGGAGTCTTCTCTTCTCATGAGGTGGCCAAAGTATTGGAGCCTCAGCTTCACGATCTGTCCTTCCAGTGAGCACTCAGGGCTGATTTCCTTCAGAATGTAGAGGTTTGATCTTCTTGCAGTCCATGGGACTCTCAAGAGTCTCCTCCAGCACCATAATTCAAAAGCATCAATTCTTTGGCGATCAGCCTTCTTTATGGTCCAGCTCTCACTTCCATACATCACTACTGGGAAAACCATAGCTTTAACTATACGGACCTTTGTTGGCAAGGTGATGTCTCTGCTTTTTAAGATGCTGTCTAGGTTTGTCATTGCTTTTCTCCCAATAAGCAGGCGTCTTTTAATTTTGTGGCTGTTGTCACCATCTGCAGTGATCGTGGAGCCCAAGAAAGTAAAATCTCTCACTGCCTCCATTTCTTCCCCTTCTATTTGCCAGGAGGTGATGGGACCAGTGGCCACCTCCTTACTTACAAGCAGTCTAAGGTGAGAGGCACAGGCTGCCAGCATCCTCCTCCTTCTTGTTAGGGTTACTTTTGCAGAACTCCGAAGGGAGGAGGATGGCGCCCAAAGCATAATTTGTTGACTCTGCCTATCCTTGGCTCTAGTCAAGTGTCTGCTTTTCCACCAGATGGAAGCCACAAAGAAAGGGCCCAGCCTTGCTTTTTATTCCCCCAAAGTAGCTTGCATTCACAGGTACGCTGCCCCTGGACAGGGAAGCTCCATTTAGCTATTATAATTCATAGGCAGCTTTCAGATCCGCCCCCAGTGGGTTTGCCATATTTCTCTTCAAAGCCATCTCCACTGCATTTTGTGTCTGTGAATTCTGCACGTTACTCTGACTGCATTGCTCTTTTCATTTTGAATTGTGAAGAGGAGGAGTTGGTGTAGACAATACTGAGCCTGATGCACCAATCAGGCAGCTTCCCGTGTTCCTAGATTTGCGTGGGGAATTGTTCCGAGAGAATGAGTGCAGGCCATTGAAGGAAAGCAGAAAATGCAACCGCTTCTTCGTGGAGGTCCGCGGGCAACAAAGCAGAACCTTGCAAACTTGCTCCGAGTCTCTTGTGGCTTGCTTGGTTGTGGCTCTCTCCCTCTTGGTCCCTGAGTTATTGGGCTTCTCATCTGCTGAGCGGGCACAAATCATCAAGGCCTGTCAGGAGTGAGAATGGAGTGTGCCAGCTGCAGAAGTCCACCCTAGTTTTTTAACAAGATTGATGCCCGGCAGCCTCCCCAGGTCTGAGTTCAAGAATCTATATTTTATTCGTTTTCTCTCTCTTCCCCCCTCTCTTTTCCCTTTGCCTGCCCCGTTAAAGCTGACGTGCAAACAGGCACTTATAATTCCTGGTCAGGTCTGTGTGTGAGCCAGTAATGCGTCTCCTCGGGAAGGGAAAATGGTTTCTTGAAAAAGATTTATGAGGAGTAAATTATTTAACCTAACACCGGGCTAGGCTGGCTGTTGCCCAGCAGCGGGTGGTAAACTCTTTCTAGGAACGAGATGGGACTAGGCTGGGCTGCTGCGTCGCTCTCTCTCTCTCTCTCTCTCTCTCTGAAACTCCTAGCCCTAGAGAACCCAGATTATCTGTAAGTAAAGTAAGTGCATCTAGAATTTTGGCTCTCCAAAGCTGAGGTGGGACTTCCTCAGAGAGACATCGTTGGTTGCCATGACAATAACAAACACCTGTCTGATTCCAGACTCGCGATGTATCCCCTAATGCAGGGGTGGGCAGCCTCTGGCCTGTGTGCCTAATCTGGCCTCACCTGGCCCACCAGGCTGTTCTGGGCAAAACCATGCCCACCTGATAAGTGGGGAGTCTGGCCCACTTGGCCAAAAATGTTCCCAGACCCCTGCTTTAATGGGCAGTGCCAAACCAAACCTTCCTGGTAGATGCAATGCAAAATCTCTGTGTGCTGGAACAAAGGAAGCTGCCTTACACCAAGTCAGATCATTGGTCCAGCTAGCTCAGCACTGACCACAGTGATGGTAGCAGTTCTCCAGGTTTCAGGAAGAGCTCTTTCCCTACAACCTGGAGATGCCAGTGGCTGGATCTGGAGCCTTCTGCAGGCAGAGCAGATGCTGTTTCATGAAATTATGTGCTTGAGTTGATTGCCAGGGTTGACAACCAGAAGGACCGAACTATCTCATCTTCTTCAGCATGGTGTTGAGGATCTCTTCCCTATCTGGGGCTGAAAGACTAGGAAAAGAGCCCCGCACAATTGGACTAAAGGACCATCTCCTTGCACACTGTGTCTTGAGGGAGTTTTGTCTAAGCTGCAAATAATTTCGAGGGAGAGAGACAGTGAAATCAGGAAAACCAACATGAAAAGGCCTGCCATTTTAGAGAACCAGAACCAGGACTCAGGTCAGGTAGAGGTGCTTCAGGACCCTGGACAGGTCCCAAGGAACTTGCCACTTGTCCCATCAAGGGCTTGGCATTAACTTGAGGCAGGGGTGGGGAACCTGTTGTCCTCCACTTGTTGGATCAAAAACCCCATCTTCTGTGAACATTGGCTGTGCTAGATAGGGCTGGTGGGGGTTGTAGCCTGATAACATCTGGAGGGAGCAGGTTGAGGAAAGCAGATATGAGGGCTCTGCTCAGGGAAAGAGAACCTTCGCTCTCCATATGTCAATGGTCAGAGATGAGGAGAGCTGTAGTTTTGAACATCTGAAGGAGATCAGGCTGGGGGAGGCTGCCTTGTCTACTGCCTGGGCCTGGCTTACCGAGCCCTGCTGGCTGGAGAAGGGAGGGCTTTTAAGTTGTAGCCCTTGGGCCTGGAGTCTAACACTCTGCTGCTTCTCCATTATCCCTTGCTTGGTGTGTTGCAGTGGGGAGGACAGTGGCCCCTCAGAGGAGTTTGGCACAGGAGAGCCATGGTTGCTAGATTTGGGCTCAGAGTCAGGGCGCTGATCCTGTGTCACTGTGTCACTGCCATATCTCTCTCTGAGTCCATGCCTAGTTCCCTGGTGATAGTCTTGGCCATGACAGGACATAACTAGGGCCATTGAATACACCCCACTATTGCTTCCCTCAAATGGATATTCAGTGACATAGAGGTAGTGCAGTGGATCAGTGCATCTGGCTGTTCATCAGAAGGTTCGTGGTTTGAGCCCACGCAGGGATGGCTGTGGGCAGGATTCCTGCATTGCAGGAGGTTGGAGTACAGGACCCTTGAGGTCCCCTTCCAACTCTGTAACTATCGATGTATACCAGGGATGGGAAATTCGTGGCCCTCCGGGTGTTGCTGGACTGAAAGTTCCATCGTTCCTGATCATTGGCCTTGCCAACGCAAATGATGCCCTAAGTCTGTAGATAGGTTGAGTGGCCTTTCATATCCCCTTAGTTGCCAACGTTTCCCCATTAAATTGTCTGCAAAAGAATAAGGAATAATAATAATAATAATAATAATAATAATAATAATAATAATAATAAAAATTTTTATTTATATCCCGCCCTCCCCAGCCGAAGCCAGGCTCAGGGCGGCTAACAACACTAAAATAGTGCAACATTATAAAAACATTATAAAAATTCATTAAAATCAAAATTGATGGCAACCATAAACTAAAGTTTTGTAAAGATTGCCAAAGGAGGGAGTCAGGCTGCGCCCTGACCAAAGGCCTGGTGGAACAGCTCTGTCTTGCAGGCCTTGCGGAAAGATGTCAAGTCCTGCAGGGCCCTTGTCTCTTGTGACAGAGCGTTCCACCAGGTTGGAGCCGCAGCCGAAAAGCCCTGGCTCTAGTTGAGGCCAGCCTAACCTCTCTGTGGCCTGGGACCTTCAAGATGTTTTTATTTGAAGACCGTAAGTTCCTCTGTGGGGCATACCAGGAGAGGCGGTCCTGTAGGTACGAGGGTCCTAGGCCGTATAGGGCTTTGAAGGTTAAAACCAGCACCTTAAACCTGATCCTGTACTCCACCGGGAGCCAGTGCAGCTGGTATAGCACCGGATGAATGTGATCTTGCAGCGAAGACCCCGTAAGGAGTCTCGCTGCGGCATTCTGCACCCGCTGGAGTTTCTGGGTCAGTCTAGCTGGGAATAGCTGGGATGGAGAACGTGCAGACTTCTGGTGAGATGATATAGAGAAAGTGGCACACTGGGTGAGTGCATCTGGATGTTAACCATAAGGTTGGTGGTTCGAACCCACCCAGGGATAGCTGTGGGCAGGATTACCGCACTGCAGGGGGTTGGACTAGATGACCGCCGGGGTCCCTTACAACTCTACAATTCTATGGGGTTCACAAATACCCCACAGTCATCTCAAAGGTAAAGTAAGCACGACAAATACCCTGCACTCCGCCCATGAGAATTCCCTTTCCCATTTGATAATTTTCAAATGCGATACCTTTTTGCATTAATTTATGGGGAACAGTTAAAAAAAAATGCAGGGCAATATTTTCGTGCAGAAGTTGGCTATTTGTTTAGGCATGTGGATAATAACCATAGATACAGACAAAATCAAAGGACAGGGAAACTAAACTTTCACAACTGTATATTTATTTTAACATGGGGAATACTTTCCCATTTTTTGTGTGCTATTCATATCCCATATCAGAATAGCACACACAGCACCTCACCCTTATTTCTATCTTCAGAACAACCCGGCTAGGTAGGTTATGCTGTAAGACAGTAGCTGGCCCAAGATTAGGCCCTGAGCTTTGTGGCTGAGCGGAGGTTTGTGGTCGAGTGAAGATTAACCGCTACACCAGTTGGGCTTGTTTCGGCAGTGAAAACTGAACGAGGGTTTTGTGTGCATTGTCCTGGCATTAAAGAAGCTTTTTTTTTTTTTTACTTTGAAAAAAATCAACTGGAATTTTCCAAAAACTTCCCCTGCAGCAACAGATGATGTTATATAAAGATCTAGCTTTCGAACAGATCCTTACATTTCTGCCCAGTTCTTGTCATGCATTTGCAGAGCATTTTGGAGTCCCGACCGTTCTTCTTTCTTCAAAGCTGCTTTTATAGAATGCAGCCCTGTGGCTTTAGTCTATGGACTGCATAAACAGAGATATCAGGATGCCCAGAAAAAATATGGGGAACATCAAGCTGTCCCCACTATATTTATATATATGCAAGGCATGCTGTGAATCCAAAACAAAGCACAAGGACTCACACAGTGATGCCTCCAGCTTTCAGTTAAAACTAATTTTAGCCATCGAACACCTGCCAAATTGATTTTATGGGCTTGACACCAGTTAATCACTTTACATTTCAAGCTTCAGCAAAATTTGCATTCTGCTAAACCTGGGGCCCGGTCATCTACAGTACAATATGCAGCAAAAACTGTAGGGTAGAGTTTGGAGCTGGTAAAATGGACTGCATGGACTTCTGGTGGGGGAATCTTGTTTTCTGAACATCCCTGTATGTGGAAAATCTCTGCAGCTGAAAGAACTAGCACAAAATGGGGGAGGGGGGCAGGCTGGACCAAAACCTATTGCCTGCTATGTTAGATTTTTACCTGCGGGATTTAAAAACAACAACAGGTGGGAGCATTAAAAAATGTTACCTCCCAGCTCCAGTCTGAGACCCCGTCTGCACTACACGCTTAAAGCAGTATCAGAACATTTTAAACAATCATGGCTTTCCATAAAGAACCCTGGGAAGGATAGTGGCTTTTTTTAAGGGTACTGAGAGTTGTTAGGAATCTCCTATAACCCTCACAAAGGAACTCTGGGAATTTCAGCTCTGGGAATGGGCTAGAGGTCTGCTAACAACTCCCAGGCCAAACAAACTGCAGTTCTCAGAATTATTATTTTGTCTCATTCAGTTTTATTAAAGTTTTTCAACATATACTACAATAAAAAACCAAACCAAACAGTTCTAATATGAACAGGCAATACACAGAGGAAAGGGGGAGGGGAGAGAAAAGGTAAGAGAGAGAACAAACGAGATATCTATCATCTATCATCTATCTATCTATCTATCTATCTATCTATCATCTATCTATCTATCTATCATCTCTCTCTCTCTCTCTCTCTCTATCTATCTATCTATCTATCTATCATCTATCTATCTATCTATCTATCTATCTATCATCTATCTATCTATCTATCTATCTATCTATCTATCTATCATCTATCTATCTATCTATCTATCTATCTATCATCTATCTATCTATCTATCTATATCTATCTATCTATCTATCTATCTATCTATCATCTATCTATCTATCTATCTATCTATCTATCTAGGTGTTGTGTATTGAGTCAAAGGATTTTATATCTGTATTATTATTGTCTGTATTTGCATTAGGGTAAAGTAACTGCCTTTTGGTTCCAGAGGGTACAGCTACTATTGATTCATTTAAGCTGCTGTATTTGGATCCTCTGTCTTATTGGTTCCCTCCAAAAGGCAGGACTGTGATTGCCTGATATTGTTCCCTCCAAAATGTATCCTTTCTTGCTAGTTCCCTGTCCCTATAAATGTAGCTTTTCTCTCCCCAGTCTGCAGTCTTGTTGCTTTAATAAAGAAGTGTTACTAGAGAACTGTCTCCAGCATGTTATATCAGGAGAGCTGAAATCACAAACCCCACGTCACAACACTATATCTATCTATATCTATCTATCTATCTATCTCTCTATCTATCTATCTATCTATCTATCATCTATCATCTATCTATCTATCTATCTATCTATCTATCATCTATCTATCTATCTATCTATCTATCTATCTATCTATCTATCTATCATCTATCATCATCTATCTCACCATTCTAGCTTAATCTTCAGTCCACATACAGAGATATGAGTCTCCTCAGTTCTCCCCTGAGATAGCTTCCATCTTTCTCAGCCTCTCTCCCTGAGAAAAGCCAAATATCCCAAATATAAATCCACTTCCCATAATTCTTTGGGGCAAACCACAATTATTATTTTTTTAAGGTGGTATGATGCTGCTTTAAATGTTTAATGCAGATGGGGCCTAAAATGGGATAGTCAAGTTCAGGGCTGACCCAAGTCTTTTTGCTGCCTGAGGCAAAGGACAGTCAAGTAACTCTGGTGAGAACACAGAAGCCTTCACCATACCTGAGGGCAGCAGACTAGCTTAGGGGCATAGAACAGATTCTGAGGTACACCGAACTCTATTTACCGTGTTGACTGCCACCTCACTCTGCCTATCTGCAGCCTGGCTCGGCCGGTAGGCGCTTTGTCTCAATGCAGGCCATGTATCATTTTTCACCCCAAGCATTCCTGGTTCTTGCCGGAAGGGGAACTTGAACTTGGGTTATGGCTTCTGCTCAAGTCTTTGATGCTCAGATCTGCACAGTAGATAGGCAAGAGTTGAAAGGCACAGCAGAGGCATTGCATGACTAAGCAAGCTAAGAGGTTGGTCCAATGTGTGACATGCTCCCTGCTCTTTGCTTCTGAAGAGCGGCGCAGGCTGAACTTTAGCATGGCAAGCAAGAGGAGCCTTTCGAATGGGCATGCAAATGGACGTTCCTTAGAGAGGGCTTGGCTTGTGCAGTCTGCTCATGATGGGGTCCCCATGTCATAGGAAAGGAGGGGACAGCACTGACTCAGAACCAGACTTGTCATCTGGTGAGGATACAGGCACACTGACAAGGAGGTGCCAGTACTGGAGGCCTCTGACAGTATAAAGGTGGGTCTTTTCTCTGACATCCCATTTGGCCCTTCCCCAGGAGCCAATCCCACACTCTCAGCTTCTCCCTCAGTCAATTAATTCCAAAACTTCCTAGGGACTCAGTGAAACCCATCCCAACCCACTGGGCCCCTCCCTGGAGCCATCAGTCTTGAGCTTCTCTCCCTCTCCCCATCCTCTTGAGCTAACCTTCCCCTCCAGGACGTCTCCACAGGAACTTATGACACAAAAGTTCCCCGGAGATCTACGGCTCTTTTTGTCACATCAAATCCAAAACAATCTTGAAAGGCTAACATGTCCACTCAGTTTTAAAATGGCTTCCTTTAAAATTAGCAGCGTTCATGCATGCACACAAAGAGTGTGACAGGGAGACTCAAAGGTACTTTGGTGGAGAAAGGAAATTCTCTTAGCTCTTTCATTGATCTGAACGTTTCATTTAATAGGAGTTAATGTTTGTTTTGATACCTGCCTTGAGCCTTCTGGGTTTCATGGGGGCAGGGCAGGATGGTGGAGGAATGCTATACATTTAAATA